AATGTAAAAATGTATCATATATATTACAGCGTTTCCCAAACGTTTTCAGCAGTGTTAGCAGTAAAATTTTTCTACAGACCACTTTTTTTAAAAAAAGCATAAAAATAATACAAATTAGTGATTGGACAATGGTCGGAAAAGCATTTTGGTCAAGAAAAATCCAAATTTTACTTGAAATTTTGATTTCCGTTTTAAGAATTATGTCAATAAAATTTTTAAATTTTTCTCTTGGACCGGTACTGGATTGCGGACCACGGTTTGGGAAGGCCTGATATATAATATTTGCTTGAATGTTAAAAAATTTCATGAATAGTGTTTGCCTTTATTATGCACATATCGAATCAGTTGTTTTCATGTTCTTTGTATGTGTCCATGTGAACAAAATACGATATTCATAATTATACATTTGATGGCAAGTGTTCGTGGTATAGCGAATGAAACACGAATATTTCATTCTTGTCCATCAACATGGAACAATTGAACAAATTATTCTTAAGACACGCACGCACACACTGGATGACGACGACGACTACTAAGTTTTTTTTTATTCGCCCACCGATCTTGTTACAATTTCTCTTGTGTCACTTAAAATCATCGTCTTCATGTTAGATTGTTCATTCGATTCAGGATGTAGTGCATGATTTTGTTCCTTTCTTTTTTCTTGTTCAATCTTCAAAATCATCAATTTCGATGATTATTGTCTTTCTTAATTCAAATTCAGTATTTTTTTGGCTGATGAGCTTCATGAATTTTTTTCATACTTGCCATGGAAAATATATGGTAATATCCGTACAAAGTTTTCAATTTAACGCCTTATTTGATGTTTTGTTTTTCCCACTATTTTCTTCATTATAATGATTATCAATTCGTAGCAATCGAAATTTGATTTTTTGTATGTTAAAAGATTATTTTAACACAAATTTTTTGGTGTTTGAAATAAAAATCTAAAAAGTGGTCATTCTATCGTTAGGGCTCAAATTTTTGGCTAGATAGTTTTTTTTCTTTTGTTCATTGATTCGTTTTTTCTGTTCCCCTGTATTGTTACTGAAATTTTTACGTAATACTATCCACTATTTGTCGACTTTATGTATTGGATCCAATTGTTCATGTAATAATAACAATCATAGCCTTAAATCGTTTATAAAGAATAAAAAACGACTAAATTGGGTGTGTGAGTGTTACGAAATTCATTTCTTCTGGTATTTTTTTTATTATAATCGTGCAAGAAATGTGTAATAGCTGGAGAAAATATCTCTAACAATGTGGGCGTTTGTACAATCCGTTTTAATGATGTGAGTTTTTCATTCTGAGTCTTTATTTTTTTTTTGTCTTGTAGTTCTTTACTACTTTGGTCGATTAAAATATACATGAGCATTTAAATGAATAAGAACAGAATTATAACAATTATAATGGCTTACATTTTACCGGCATTCCCTAATTATTGCCTATTTTTTATTTCGTTCTACGTTTCAGTTGGATCAAGGTCTTTTTAACTTTTTTCATTTGTTTCACAATGATTCTTGATTCTCAATCCGAAGAAAATGTGAAAATGAAGGTCAAATGACATACATAACTTATTCAACATCGTTATTTTTTCACTTTTTATCGTTGATTTCAGCTAAAATATCCAAATATTTCATTTATAAAAATTGTTTATTAATAAGCAAATAGAAAATGAACAATTTTAATAATAATGGACAGTGAAAACGATGAAAAATAAAAATTTTAAACGGTTCCAGCTATGATTATCATCTTCATGATAATGCTACTACCACTATCATGATAGTCATTAGTGAAACAAATGCACATGGCTTTGTTGAATTTGTTCGCAAGAATTTTCAATGTCTGTTCGGTTTTTTTTCTTCTGAATTCATTATCATCATCATTTATATGTACGTGTTTGTCTTGTGGATAATTTTGAACCTTTTCATTTGATTTTAAATGAAGGTCATGGGATTTCATTTCCAAGCCCGGAAACTGAAGAAAACGATAACAACAAAAATGCAAAAAAAAAATCAACAAAAGTGTATGAAACAACCAAAAACCATTCTACTAACAAGAAAAAGCTATAATAAATGAAATAGCAAAAATAAAAAGGCTTTAATATTTGACAACAATGATGATTATGATAGTTATGTTATAATGCCGGGTTTTCGTTTAATATCCTGGGCTCAAACTGGGTAAATCGCAACAACAACAACAACAACAACAAAAATGAAATTTGGATCTCATAACTGATATTTATACAAAAAGAAATGAAACACAATTTGATAATCATATTTGATGGATCATGTGGTGTATTTATCCTGGTAGTAAGATTTATAACCGTTTATGTGTATATGTATCTGTGAACACATTTGAATGCCATTTTTTCATTTATTTATTTTTTTTTGTTTCATTCACACGAATTTTTCTGATGATCTGATTTTCAAACATATTTTGATGATTGTGCTGCTTTTAAGTAAATACTACTGAATCGAGCAATTAAATAGATCATTGATAGAGAAAATCACACATTAATCTCAGACGTAATCATAATTCGGTTATTTTGTTTAAAATTATTTTTTTCATTTTACCAGATAAAAAAAGTCATTCCGCTTATTTTCAATGGTCCATTAATTCATTCATTTGAAAAAAAATCGATAATGCAAATCAACAGATGAAAAAGTTCATCTTGAATTTTTTTCATGCACAAAAATTAGAATATAAACTTGTCATAACGACATTTTGGTCATTAGAATAATAATGTCTATTAAATCTAACTAGAATCATCATCATTATTCGAGTTCATTCTTGATTGTATTTAATATTACCCCAAACAAAATGAGCTAAATGTTCAGCTAACTATTCCATGAATAGAATCATCATCACATGATTTTTTTTCACTTCATGCTTGAATGTTTTTTTTTTTTTTGTTTGAATATTATATAAATCACAAAGGAATTCCAAGGCCATTTTTTCTTGTTCTTATTGTCATTACATTGTAATGTTAACATCAATCGTTGGTCTTTATTTTTGAATTATTGAATGAACAATCCATTAACTATCATTATTATGATGATTCTTGTGATTGTGGTTTTTCTTGTTGTTCGGGACATTAATGAAAAAAAAATCGAAATATCATTTTTATTGCTATGATCATAAAAATCGAATTCGAGCATTTCTGGTTTGCCATACCAGAAAAAATTTATTTTCAAAAAATCTTTGAATGATCCAACGCTTGAAAACTTTATCATCTTAGATTCACTATATTATGTTGCCGTTTTTTTCTGACATTGAATACCGCTGAAATAATATCCAAGTGTGTTTCATTTCATACGACAACAATAATGAAAAGAATTGTAGCACAAAATATTTAAATTTTTTTTTACCATACATACTATGTTGCTGGTGTCGAATTTTTTTTTTTTTTGAAACTAGATGAATCGGAGATGAAACTATATATTGAATGCATATAATAATTGTGATTATAATAATAATAATGATAATGAAGATGATGATGATGATGATGATAATCATCAGATGGAGATAATGAATAAAAAAGGGAAAAATAAAACCTTGATGATGTTGAATAATGATGATGAAAATTTTTCCCTTTCACATTTCATTTAATTTGCATTTTTATTTCTTAGATTGGAGATTTTTTTTTTTTTTTCTCCATGATAACCCCACACACACTTTTTTTTGAAGGTTTAATCATAAAAGCAATACGACAAAAAAGATATTAATTTTTTTTGTTGTTGTTTTTCAGAGTTTTTCCACTTTGTTTCTACTGTTACCTAATTTAATAATGGTGCAATATTGAAATCAGTGAATAAAAATCTGCTATACAGTAGACTTATGTCTGTGTGTATGTGATTATTAACAAAGCCATTATTGGCAGTGGCAGTTTGTGTTTTTTTCTATTCAGTTCTCAGAACCTGTTTGTGGACTATGAAACAAAAAAAAATATTTCGATGCTATTAGCAAAAGCATTTTTTTTGTTATTTTAATCATTAATATCAAATGTAAATATAATATCAATATAATGTAAATAGAATATCAACCACGAATTTTTTCTCAAGCAGCCATAAGGCTTTCCTTTATCTTAATTCAGTTTTTCTTATGCAGCTGAAAATTTTCTTGTTTTTTTTCACAATTCTTTTTAGTGTATAGTGTGGACCAGAGAAAAACGGTCCTTCAAATCCAATCTATCAATCCAATTGGATTTGTTAGTTTTTTCAGTTCATTTTATGTTTTTTTTTAGTATTTTTCATCGTCATAATCACTTTTATCATTTTTGATGCTAATTTTATCCAAAATATGATGATGATGATTTTGTTATTTTCATTGCATGAATAAACACAGAAAAAACTTAACATAAAAGGAAAAAAATGTGATGAGTGAAGCCAACATTGAAAATTTTATATAATAAAGACAATATACATTGCTTCGTTTTGTTTATATGATGGTTTTTTCTCATTTTCAATTTATGTATACATACAATTCTGTTCTAATGTTTTTCCTAAGGAATGAGAAAAAAAAAAGTTTTTCTACAATGTTTGATTTTGAAATACGGTTTTTTTTTCTCATTTCTTAATCATCATCTTGTGTCACCATCTGCGCCCGTATTCTTTATTTTTTGTTTCATTTATTTATCTACATACTTTCTATTTTCATTTCCATTGAATCTAACTTTAATCTTTGTATTTGTTTGTCTATTTACTCACAGATTTGATTTTCTTGTTTGTGGCCTACATTTGAAATTTTCTATTGTACCAGACAATAAATTGAACCCGAATACCGACGACAGATTATTATTCATTCATTAATTCAGCACTTTTTCCATTTTGTATCCATCAATTATTCAAATTCCTGATCTGGTTGTTGTTTTTCACCAAGGTACTTTTCTTCTTCTTATCACGGTATACAATCATCATCAAGCAGATGCATTGGAATATTCCCGTGAAAATCAAGTTAACTATTAGTGATATAAATAATATTGAACTATAAGGTAGAAAAAAACGAAATTTTAATATTGAAAAATAAATAACAAGTATCAGCAACAACAACAACAACAACAACATTATCTATAGTTTGGATCTAATATCGCACACACATAAACATTAACCGTTGCCTGGGCCTAGCTTGCTGACTGACTGAATGACTTGAATGACTGCTTCATTAGTTTCGTTTTATTCGCTTGCCAATAATATATAATCGAATTATTTCATCGTTTCTTTTTTTTTGTTATTGTTATCGGTCTCACGATTTTATTTTTATTTTTTTTCTCTAGTTACTTTGCAGCAGATTCTATCAACACCATTTTCATTCAAAAACATCAAAAACAGAGTATTGACAAAAAAATATATCAGAAAAAAAGAAAGAGTTGCCATCGAAGAAATATAATATAATAATAGTGGTAAGAAAAAAAGATTCTAAAAAAGAATTTTCACTGAGTTTTTTTTATGAAACTATTAGTTGAATAAAAACGCAAAAAAAATTTACATTCGATTTGACGTAACAGATTGATTGTATGGCGAAAATTCATGCTGTTTTTCTGCCGACAGCGAAGTAAATATTAAAAAAAATATTCACGATCAATTCTTTTTGAGCCGACATCAGCAAAGAATACTTGAGGAATATAAAATGGAATCTGAAATCGAGACCAATAGCTACGAACCGAATCGTATTATTATAGAATTCGAAAAACGTGCCAAAGAAAATGAAATGAATGGAAAGAATATGATACCATCAAAAACTACTCGTTTGATCGAAAAATTCGAGAAAAAAGCACAAGGCATTGATGGTGATGGACGTCGAGGTTCTGTATCAAATGGCCAATCAATGGTGAATAATATGAAAAAAGTTTTCGAACCAAATAGCGGACAAACAGATGATGATGATACACCAGATCGAGTGATACCATCGGGCAGTACGAATAAATTGATTGGAATGTTTCAACCTACAACATCAACCTCTGATCAACAACAACAACAACAACAGTAATCATCACCATGGCCATCATCATTGGCTTGATTATGACGCCCTCATAATTTTCACAGTTGATCGTCACCATCATTATCTATAATCATAATCATAAATGTTAAGGTATTACACAAAAAAAAATCTTACAAATCACCAGCAAGACAGTTGTTACCATAATCGCCATCATTTTGTTTGCGATGACTATTCATGATGATCATTATAATCGATTTGTTCATATTTGGAATATTTTAACATCTGAACACCAGACAAACATTTCAAATATCATAGCCATCTCCTGTTATGTCATATTCTTTTTCTCATTTTGTTTATTATCATTCATATCGCAATCATATTTGCTTTAAAATATTTTCCTTGCTTTTCTGAATGTTTTTTTTTCATTGGAATTTTTTTCTCATCATACTTTTCTTTACCATGTCAATAATTCTATTCTTTTGTTTCCAAATTATATACACCATACCACACACACACACACACACACACATGAAAACACAGAGAATTTATTTTCGATTATAAAAATTGTAAAATTTTCGTTTTTTTCTTTTTATTCTTAATGTTTACCAAAGAGTTCGTTCAAATACAAAAAAGAAATCAAAATAATGCAACATCAACCAAAAATAGTATTTTTCTCTCTCTCTCTCTCTCTCGCTTTTAAATGTTTGTCATTCATCATGTATGTTCAAATTTGTTTTCTTGTCCTTTATTCTAAATGTTATTCTATTTTACCTTATTGTATTTGGAACATAATAATAATAATAATAATGATGATGATAGTGATCATAATGATAATAATAATATAAAAAAAAACTCACTACTTGTCTATCAGTACATTTATTTCGTAATAATTTCCATATTACTTATTATTCGAATTGAAAACTCAAACGCCTCACATAGAAGGAATATGAAAAAAAAGAATGAAATAATTTAAATCAGGAGATTTTTTTTTCATTGGAAAATCTAAAACTTTTGAACCATTTTATTGAAATGCAAAGAATTGAAAAAGATCATTTTTCAGAAAATGCCGTAAATTCCAAGAAAAAAATTAGTTCATAGACGTGATCATCATTCTGATTATTGCATACATTCTTTTTTTTTTTTTGAAATCTGGTATGGTCTATTTAGTTGGTCAAATATTAAAGTTATATTCGTATGTTTTTCTTTGCCCATACAATTATTATTTTGTTCAAACATTAAAAATGATTCAAATCAACTAACAAATAAGTCGGTTCCACCATAACGGTTTAGTTCTAAGTATCAATGAATTGAATGTGACTGAAATTCAATCTAATTTTTCTATGGAATCAAAAAACAAAAGAAATTGAAAATTCATTTACTGTTTTTTATTTTCATCAATTTTGATGTAATCAACACTCGTTTGTACATGAAATTTTTTTTCACATACAAACATTACGGAAAACGATAAATATCGTATATGATAATAACAGTTCATTTCACTAACACGTTTATGAAAAAAAAAATAATTGCAAAAAAGCACCCACCCACACACACACACGCGCGCATAATCTGATTTCCACAGTTTTCAAAATCACTTTTATATCGCCATTGTTGATGGTGAAATCAATTCATTGACACATCATCGTTTGTTATGGATTTTTGTTATGTTGTCATTGGCAACAATGATAAATTTAAATTCTTTTCTTTTTTTTTGTTTTCATCATTTTTTGTTGTTTTTGTTTGTTCATCGTCAGTGATCGTTGTTCCGTTGAAATAATGGTAATAGCATGGTTCGATAATTTGAATAAATCCCACCATCAATGTTCGTGGTTGGTCTCATGTGTGATATTTAGTTGGATGGATTTTTTTTTTATTTTTCCACGAAAATATCCTCCGTGAATCATCCAAAGTTGGGCTGAATATTTGCATGTTGTAACCATCTGTGTGTTCTTGTTGGTTTTTTTCTATGATCCCAATCTATTGTTGATCAAATTATCATTGGTTTTTATTGGCCATAATATCTACATTTGACTGATCATCATTCGAATGAATGATTTTCATTTTTCATCTTTTCCATTCTTTCTCATATTACACTTTACTGATACATGTTCAATTTCATTCATAGCATGAATATTTTTTTCTTTTTTTTGTGAAAATTGTGAATAATATTTCATTCATCTTTGTCCTTTCATTCATTTTTCATCTTCTCTATTCATAGTGATCATCATTAACCGACAATGTATGATGAAACTTTTTCCATTTTTTGATTAAGTAGTTCCATGTGTTTGCATGGAATGTTCATTTTCATAGAATAGTTTATCGCTTTTACTAGGTTTTTTTTTATTATCATTATTACTACTACTAGTCAATGACAGTTGCATATATCATTGCATTCATTTGAATTAACAACAACGATTAACAATAGAACATTTAATTAATCAAGTAAATGAATGATAATACTAATGATAACAAACGGTACCATGAATAATCAAACTAAGAAAAAGAAACTCCACCAAATCCATTTATTCCATCAAAACAAACCAAAAAGAAAAAAAAATGAAATTCAAAAATGACATCAAGTCAAACATTCCGTTTACGATATTCAAAGCATATTTCCTGAATATTGATTATAATTTCAAAAATCCAAATAGGAATCGTTTGGAATATGCTTTGAAAACAGTAATTCCATCATTAACGATTCAATAGATGTATGGATTGAAAACAAAAAAAAACCGAAAATGAAAAATCAGCATAATCGGTGATTACACAATCAATCTGTTCATTCATTCAAGACAAACTCTTCTTGGCACATAAACACATTTTAACAACCCACACATTTAAACTGTGTCTGTAAATCTTGGCCAGACAGACAGAACAACAAAACATGACAGATCCTAACTCAGGACATGCCATTTGCTCCATCGATTCTATTATGCTCAGAATGTGCTCCCAATGAATTGAACGTATACAGTTTTTTCTTAGAATATCACATAATTTGATGCAATCATTTGGATTATTTCATTTTTTATTGTTTTTTCCTGTGGTTTCTTTCATCATTCCGTTATCTCTGTTTTCCGTTTATCGATGTGTCTTATAAATAAGACTCATTACTTTATAGTTAGTTGAATATATAAGCTAGAAATTTCTGCCACTGACGCCTCAAGTTATTCTTTTTTTTTTTTTTAGTTTCTGGATTTTTTCTGTACATTTTTACACTTAGTGTGTATCTTTGGATACAATTACATGTTTTTTTGTTTAGTATACCAATAATGATGATGATGACGATAATAAGAAATCCATAAGAAGAAAAAATCGTTTTTTTCTTCTTTTTTCATTGTTATTCTAATGCTCTTTGTTTTTATTCTTTGTTGTTTTTGTTTGGTTTTTATTTTTGTTGTTCTTTCCATCAGATATATCCGATAGAGTGCTCAGCATTTGATTTGTGCACGACATTTGGTTTCGAAAAAAACCGGAACAAATTCGATGAAATGAGCGTTTGTGTTTTTATTTTTGTCTGTCTCAGAATCTAATTCCGATGAGGAGAAAAACAACAATAGCAATTATTAAAAAAACAAAAAAAAAATTCTAGAAAAAAAACAAAGTAATACAAGAAAAAAAGGAAAAAGAGTGAATAAAAATAAAAAAAAATGAAGAAAAAAATTAAAGTAAGGAAACGACAATGTATTTGCTGTTCTTCATTTACAATACATTAACCAAACAAAACTAACTGAAACCATACAAATAAAATATCGAGAATCAAAATAAAAATGAACAAAACCAACAATGACAACAATGGCTAGTGTAAAGTAATGGAAAACCAAACAATTCTTGCTGAATCTTTGAATCCTGTAATTTCTCAGGAATTCTGGTTTTGTGGTTTTTTTTCTTTATGGTATTTTCATTTCTTTCCATTTTTTTGTATCTTGTTTTCTGTCTTTTTTTTATATATATTGGCTACTAATGTAATTCATATTATTAGCCATCAACCAAATGCTGACCAGATTTGCAAAGACATTCCACATTTTTGGTCAAAACCAAATTCCATCAAGTTGGACAATCCATCTTAATGAAGATTAACAATCAAATCAAATCAAATTAGTTGATCAGACATTTATTTTAATTAGAAAAAAAATTCATTATAAAAGGATATTAGATTTTTCATTTTTTCGAATCAAATCATAATTGTGATAATTTCATAGTTTATGTTTTTTGAGAGCAGAAAAATTCTTTTAGAATGACAGTAATTGCCACCAATTTAATGTTTATTGACAAGAACGGATTTAATGATCATGATTACCATAAAAATGCATTAAAATTTTTTACTCCTTATTAAACTTGATTTACAACATCAAAATTAATGGTTTAACATCCATATGTAATATATGGTCAAATTGTTGAAAGGAAGAGGGATTTTTTCCAACGTAAAAACAAATAAAAAAAAATTAATTATCAATTGTCAACTTTTTTGTCACATTTTACATGTTTTTCAAGCTTGTCATAATGTCCATTCTTTTTTTTCGCTTGTCATTTAATTTTATTTTTTTTTTATTATTTGTTGTTGTCCCATATTCTTTTTTTTATTGTCATTCATGCCATCGTCAATCATCATTCATCGTTTATGTTTTTTTTTTGTTGCTTTTTCGTTGTTCTCATCCTGAAAGAAAAAATCAATCTTGAAGGCTGTAATTTTTTCATGTTGCTACTGTTTGTTCTTTTTTTTCTCTTTCCCCATTGTAGCGGAAAAAAAGAATAATTCGTGTGAATCTAAACGAGCATTCAGTAGTATTATGGACAATTTTTTTTTGCTCCTTGTTCAATAATGTTAACAATGTACTGTTGAGTTTAGCCGGTATTTTCATTATATGTGTGTGTGTGTGTGTGTGTTTGAATTTTGATCATTTTGTTTTTCATCATATATAATAACGACCTGAATATTTTTTTTTTTTTGTTTAACCCCCAATTTCTTCATTTATCACATATACATTGACTTTTATCCTATACAGACATTTTCGCATTTGTTTTGTTTGATTCATGTATTCATTTATTTATTCACTATCAATTCATTTGCATATTTTCATTTTATTATTATCCATGCCATTATTATTAATATATATAATGGTATCATGCTAGCCATCGTGAATCATGACGATGACAACTACAATTCTGGTCATATTATTTTTTCCCCCCTTTTTGATATATTTATTTTGACATATGTTGTTCTGGTTTTTTTTTTGCTGTAAATTTCTTCAACATTTTGTTACATTTTTTCTTTTGGGTATATGGGTTTTTGTTATTATAAATGTACATATATAAGTCAGACATAACGAACTTGAAGGTTATGAAAATTCTTTAGAATAGTTAATTTTACTTAAATTGACTAACTGTCTGTCTGGATAGCTGGTTACATTTTCATCTTAACATGATTACATCATATAAAAAGAAAAAAAAGTTGCCATAATAAAAATTGAGTAAAAAATTTAAAAAGGTTACTGTTTCATTTATCTCTCAATTCTCAATTGTTATTCAACTGAAATAACTTATAGTCTTTATGTGAATCAAAGTATGTCTGCTTAATATGTTTACCGAGAAACAAAAATTTGATTAAAATTTAAAAATAGTCATTTCCGCAGATCCATTCGATTTCAACATCTTCATAATATTTGTTGTCTGTTGTTGTCAATTCTAGTTTTTAATAACATGTAATTTGTCATTTTTTCTGGATCAATCTTACACACACACACACACACCAGCAAAATCCATTAATCTATTTGTTTGTCTTGTATATTATATATTCATGTATGTCGATTTAACTT